CGATATTCCTTCAATTAAATGAATTAATATCTTAAAAATTCATTTCTTCCATACGTAGGTTCGACCGAAATAAAGTTCGATTGAAAAAATATGTTTCCCAGAGGGAAAGTAGACCATGGCATTGAATTCCGGTACAATGTACTCTAGTATTTTATAATAGAAGCAGGAGAAAATCGATGAAGAGGGTCCTACCTTATTGGATCTGTAGACAGGGATGGGGATCGTGAGCTGAGGTTGCTGCTGGGGTACGTCCACGCGGTCGTAGAAAATCATGGCTTCCTACAGCTGCTTCGACACTGCACAATTTCACTACCCGGTATGAACGCGTAAATAAACTGCGTAATTATCTCTGCGAACACGAGACTCAAAAACTTCGAAAAACGGCACGAAAGATTATCGTTCAGTTTTGGAACAAGCGTACGAAATCGAAAGGAACGAAAAAGAACACGTGGACCGTTAAGCGAAACAGATTTCCGAACACATAACCTAAATTCACTCGAAGCTCCCGTAGACGCGAATTACGAGACAAATAAATATAAACGATTCAATTAAAGATACAGAAAGAATTGAACAGACGCTTGGAAAAATTTGCTTAAACAGAATACAAAGAAACGCACTACGACGTTAGACGAATAAAAATCGTTTGACGCACTCTTGAATAGATCACGCGTTTTGGAATACACGATCGTACTTGGATATACTTCGCGATATACTACAAGAATGAACGTTTGTTTCTGATTATGTGCAAATAAATGAATAAATAAACGACGCAAATGATCACTGAGCAAATTCGTGTAAACAGCACAGTCGACTAAGCTTGCCAGCGGTCCTTCCTTGAATGACGTGAATTTGGTAGAGGACGCACGGGGAGGGGGGGACGAGTTTTTGAATTCGCAGTTTCGGACCCCGCAGAGTTTCAGGTTAGTTCGCGCGTTTACGACGTTGTATACAAATGTTTCTACGCCCGCATTTTCTGTTACTTTAAAAATGTTTAAATAACGTTGGATTAACGAAAGTTTAGTGTATTCTATACGGAATGCTTCATGTTAAACGAGAGACGATACGAGAATGTATAGGTAATATATTTTTGCATCACATTTCGGTTAATTCTCGGTAGTCTGGATATGTGCAATTATTTGAGAATCGTTAATTTAATCGTTTCTCAGGCCCAAATTTATAGTCGTTTTTTAGTTCTCAACTGCTTGTTGCATATTTATGTGTTTCGTATATAAGCATCTATAGTCATTGTGGTAAGTTTATTCACTTCAATAAAATTTAAAAAATGGGATAAAACTCGATTTTCATCAATCATGTATCATGGAACAAACAATTGAGAACTGAGAACTGAGAAACGACTATAAATTCCAGTTTTAATTTCTTTTATTTATAACAAAGCCTAATTGCCCGTTAAGGAGTCGTTCGTTTATCGCTTGAAATCAACTTCATNTATATACTACATTCTTGTATAACACTGTAAATGTTTTTATATTGTAGGAAGTGGGTATAAAAATTCGTATTGCATTCGTTTTGGTGCGGAGAATGTTGGGACACCGAGTGCATTTTGCAGGGATGGAATCAAACCAGACACGAGGAGGAGAGAAGCTCGAAGGGAGAAGGGAAAAGGCCGCAGGCACGTACTCACAATACTGCATTACGATACCCATACCACCCGCGCAACCCCATTCACACCCCCGTGTTCCCTTTTCTTTCCACCCTTTTCCCGTCGAGGGAATTGCCGTTGAAGGTTCTCCCAGGGATCCTCGAAAATGAGATCGAAAGTAGGCCTCGCGAAAGGGGTGGAAAGTGGAAAATAGACGAGATTTTCACGCCTGCTTTGCCCAAACTCACACCCCCTCGCTGGATCAAGCCCGGGCAAATACTTTTAACGCCTGCCATTTTCAAATAAATCGAATTAGAAATCAGAATATTTAATATAAAAATCGTATCAACACGAAACGTCGCGTGATTCTCGATGCAATCTTACAATAGTAAAACGAGTTGAAAAGACTGAATGTCTTCGTTCTTAATAAAACTACAAAAGCCAATAGGAACGAAACAGATTTAACTTTATTAAATTCGTCTCGTATCGAAAAACTTGTCGCGATTAAATTTTTCGTTCTCCTCTACCACCACCATTTCCCCGCCCCCGGCTTTTTTAAATATATAATTCCATCCGCGAGTCTGAACGAATTTCATTATTAAACAACAAACTTTTCCCTCGCTCGCGGAGATCTCTCAGTGAAGTTTTCAAGTCTCTCTCGGTGAGTCTTCAATTTATTCTCACCCCCGGCTATCTGTCCCACGTTTACAACCAACCCTTCCTTTCTCGTCGCTCGGGATCCGTTCCGATTCTTACGATTTGGCTCTCGTACTCGTCTCGATTAAAGCCCTGCCGATGCACTCGATTGATTCCCAATCGAACTTCCCCCGACACCTCGACGATATTCTTCGTTTAACTTCAATGAATTTTTTTACGGCGACAAGGCGAGGAGATGGAATAAGAGCACTTGATTAATTGATTAATTTCTTCGATTCGGGACGTATTCAAATTTCTTTTCATCCAATAATTACTTAAAATATTACAAGATCGACGTAGCATTAAATAATTTAGGATAAAATTGTATCAAAAGATAATTC